GGGGGGGGGGGGGGGGGGGGGGGGGGGGGGGCGACAGGCCAACCAGATGGGGACCTCAAGGATTGAAGTTAATTTTGAAGAGTCTGCTTGGATTCTTCCTGGGACGACTGGTCCTACATCATGAAGACGGTGACCACTTGGTCATTGAGGGCCCTGTAAGACAAATCTCCCTGCAGTGGTCCACATCGTCTCTGTAAACATGCTTCTAGTGCATCCACGTGTGACCCTTCCAAACAAAAGGTCTGAGTAGGTGACAGGAGAGGTGACGCTACACCTACTGGGACATGGGGCACTTGGGTGGCTCAGTCAGTTAAGCATCCATCTGACTTTGGCTCAGGTCATGATCTCAGCTCATGGGTTCAAACCCTGTGTCAGGCTCTGCAATGACAGCTCAGCCTGGAGCCTGCTTCGGATTCTGTCTCCTCCCTCCACTCCTGCTCTGTCTCTGTCTCTGTCTCTCTCACACACACACACACACACACACACCCCATTAAAAAATTTATACCTACTGGGACAGGAAATGCTCAGGGACAGAACACCTTAGACCCTGATGGTAGGAGATGCAGCCAGTGCTCCGTCCTGGAGCTCCAGCACCGCAGCGTGCCAGTCACCTGGTCTGCTGAGCCCTGCACCTGGCAGTGTGGCCTGTCCACACAGCCAGTCCTGGACGATTCCTCTGTGCCCGGTGCCACCACGGCAGCTCCTGAATGCGACCCCCACCCTACACATTTACAAACACATGGGCCTGCACGGACTTGTTCCACTCTGGATGGTAACAAAATCACACACTTCTGATGCCCAGGGAGCCGTGGGTCATAATACATAGTGGTTGAGGCTACAACTACTCAGTGGCACTGCCCACTGGTGGCGTCCAAGCCAGGTTTTTTTTTTTTTTTTTTTTTTTTTTTTTTTTTTTTTTTTTTTCTGAGAGAGAGACAGAGCATGAGCAGGGGAGGGTCAGAGAGGGAGACCCAAAATCTGAAACAGGCTCGACTCTGAGCTGGCTGTCAGCACAGAGCCTGATGCGGGGCTCGAACTCACGAACCGGGAGATCATGACCTGAGCCGAAGTCGAACACTCAACCAGCCACCCAGGCGCCCTGCCAAGCCAGGTTTAACACATCCTGAACCGGAGCGCCCTGTGCCCCCATAATCCAGGTGTTTACATGTGGGAAAGAATGAGCCATAATGTCACCCCACTGGGCATGAGGTTGCTTTCGGGCCTTGTAATTATTGGTAAGGCCACAGGTCAGTCTGAAGTCCCTTGGGTGGGTCCTAATGGCTGATAAGATTAGTGTTAGACGCCATCCTGTCTGAAGCCGGCCCTGCTCATTCACAGCTGGATGCTGGACGACAGGCTGGCTGCCTTTCAGCAGGACTCCCAGCTGCTCGGAGTCTTGTTCAGGGAGTGCTTTAACTGCCGTGTGAGAGAAACCGAATGAATTCAGTCTCGGGTTCTGTTAGATTAATCAGAGTGGCGTACCCGTATGAAAATTCACCAGGAGCCAGGAGGGGTGGATTGTCAGGAGAGATGTCGTCTCATGCGGCTACAAGGCTTCCTGGGTGTGCCAAGAATGTGTGACCCTGCCAGCTGGTTACCTGGGCCACTTCTCGGGGTTGGGTGCCTTGCAGGATGAGGAAATGGCTCCCTCAGGACAAACAGCAGGCTAGCTTGCTGCTTACTGTGAAGCGGAAGGTTCCCGAAGCTCCTGTCCTGCTCTTGCAATGCAACCCATTGCCCCCATCGGGCAAAGGAACCCGACACAATGCTTTAAGCTGCTTGCTGTGAGTAATAAACCCTTTTGTCTCTGACCCAGGAATCTCAAGGCTTCTGCCAGCACTTTGGAAACAGTTACAGGCTGACTTATTAGCTTGCAAATAGAGTGAAATCAAATCCCAGACACAACAGTCACTGGGTGGTGGCCAAGCCTGGCTTTCCCTGGCCGGGCTGTCGGCCCCCTGGCACGTCCCAAAGGGTGGCCCATCGAGATGTTCTGATCGTTAGTTTTCCAGAATGCCCAAGGCCAGTGCAGCACTTTTGTGGGAAAGTAAACAGTCCCTACATACTGTGTGCTTAAAGCCCTCCACCTCCTGGGATGTGGTTATGTTCAAAGAAAATATTCCAGAACAGGGATTATGATGTTTATAGGACCAGGGCACTCTCTGTTCATGTCAACATCAGCAAAGAGATGAAAGCAGGCCTTGCACAGCAGTTGCTTTCCCATTGAGCAAGGTCAGTCCTCAGAAGGGTACAGGACCTCCACGGAGGGCTGCCTCCCAGCAGCCCACTGCCCCCTGGCTTCCCTGGCCACTCAAGTTGGCATCCAGCAATCTCTTCACAAATTGCCGCGAGTAAGTAAAACCTTCAGGGCCAGAGTGACTCTCCAAAGAATGTCAGCTGGAGGAATGTTAGAGGAAGGGTAAGCTGATGTACTAGTGAATGACCGTATTGCAGGACAGTCAGGGACACAAGTGCCTTTTTCCTACAAAGGAGGTATTGCTCACACCCTCATTATCAAGTCATCTTAGGCAGAGATAATGAGGAAACCGAGGAGGGCAGAGCTGTTAGAGGTCAGGAAGCCACTGTCCCCGCACCCGTTCGCATGGTACACAAATAATGAATGGGGGGATGTTTTCCAAACAGGATGGTCTTCGGCCCTCATCTGTTTCTCATCAAGCTTTTGTGTTCACCGTCCCGGCTTTCATCTGGTGCCCACCTGTCAGTGCCCCGAGTTAGAGCAAGGGAGTAAGGGTGTATTCACTGCCACCAACAGGCTTCCGTGTCTGCTTTCCCTCTCTTCTTCCTTTCAGTAAAGTCCCCAGGTTTTACGTCAGTACGTGGCTGCCCAGCTAGGAGCTAGATCTTCGTAGTGTCCCCTGCAGCTCGATGTGACCATGCGTCTGACCTGGCCAGAGGGACACATGCCACTTCTGGGTGAGGTCCTTAACGCTCTCTCTGGTCTCTTCCACACCCCACTTACAATACAGGAGGGAACAGAGGGGAACTCGGAGGATCGGCCGTGCTCTTCCCCAGACCCCCTCCCCCTCCCCCCAGTCTTAGCAACGTAGTAAAAGGCCGCTTCGTCTTGCGTCTGGAGGGCCTCCCACTACTGCTCTGCGACCTACTAGCCTAGTGCCCTTGGGTGTAAAACCATCTTTTTGAGGCTCAACCACCTCATATGGAACATGGGATCCTACTGCCAGTTTCATGAGTAATCATAGGAGATAGCATTTGTGAATAGTAAAAACTAATGTTTATCAAGCATCTACTTACTTGTGCCAGACAGAACCATAACTTTATAAGTCTTCCATTGGACCGAGGGTGAAACTGAGGCAGCGTGGTTGACTTATTTATCCACAGAGCAAGAGGAGGTGGTTTGAGCGTTCGCCTGGGAACGACTGACCTCCACAGCCCACGGCCATAGCCACTCCGCTGGCTCTAACCTGCCATCACACTAGCAGAGTGCCTGGCGTCAAGTAACCTCACTAATTCACCAAATGACGGCGCGCACCAAGTTCTGGGTCACACCGTTCTGGGTGCTGAGCAAAGCAGACAAGGTCCCCGACCCATGTAGAATTTATGTTGTGCCTGGAGAAACATCTTTTCTCACTTCCTGCATCCAGTTGTGGGCAAAGGCACAATCATGACTCACCACCTCTTCTCATCCGGAGTAAAGATCAAAGATCTCTGATGTCCAAGTCCCCCCTCGGTCCGTCCCTCCTGACCTCCTCCATTTCCCCCTCCATTCTCACTGCCACTCTGCACTCCTTGCGGCTCTTCATCACTCAGGCACATTCATGCCTCAGGACCTTTGCACTCACCATTCCCTCTGCCTACAACACTTACTCCAGGTGCTTGCATTGGCTTACCTTCTTATCCAGAAGCTTTATTCCAAGATCTCAGTAAAGCTTTCCCTGCTCTTATCTAAAACCCGACCTCTCTCCAAGAGACCACAGTTATTACCTAGCCTCCTTTTTTAGCAGCATTTTTCTTCTTAGCACGTATTACTTTTTAAAATATAGCTTCTGTTGAAGTGTGAGTTGTGTAAAACTCACCCATTTCAAATGTGCACTTCAGTGGTTTTTAATACTTTTACCAAGTGGGGCAACTGTCACCGTCAGTCAGTATTAGAACATGGTTTTGGGGCACCTGGATAGCTCAGTCGGTTAAGCATCTGACTTCGGCTCAGGTCATGATCTCACGGTTCATGGGTTTGAGCCCCGTGTCGGGCTCTGTGCTGACAGCTCAGAGCCTGGAGCCTGTTTCAGATTCTGTGTCTCCCTCTCTCTCTCTGCCCTTCCCCAGCTCATGCTTTCTCTCTCTCTCAAAATAAATAAACATTTAAAAAACTTAACAAAAAACAACAACTAGAATTCAAATTGGGGTTAGTGAATATGTTCCAGATCACAGCTAAAAACCATCCACCTGACTTTCCGCATTTCTTTCAAATCGTATTGACTAATGGTAATGAGCCAGATGGGGACCCCGGGACCCCCACCCACCAANCGTGTCGGGCTCTGTGCTGACAGCTCAGAGCCTGGAGCCTGTTTCAGATTCTGTGTCTCCCTCTCTCTCTGACCCTCCCCTACTCACGCTGTCTCTCTCTCTCTCAGAAATAAATAAAACATTAAAAAAAAAGAACATGGTTTCATCCCCACCCCCGATAAGATCGCTCATTCTCGGTTGTAGTCAGCCCCCATCCCCCACGCAGCTCCCAGCAACGGTGACACCGCTGTCTCAACGGCCCTTCCCCGAACACCTCACATGCGTGATACCCTACAAAACGTAATCTCTTGTGTCTGGCACCTTGCACCTGGCATGTTTTTGAGGTTCATGCACGAGGCAGTATATGTCAGCTCATTCCTTTTTAGGGCTGAGTGATGATATCCCACTGTAGACCCATTTCATCTATCCATGTACCAGCTGCTGGGACATCTGAGTCTCCACTTGTTCTCTAACATTCTGTACATTTTACCTTGTTTCCCCCACTGGAATGTCAATCCCATGAGGCTGGAATTTTTGGTTTTGTTAGCGCTGTACCCCCAGCCCTTGAATGGCACCAGGCACACAGTAGGTACTCAACCAACACATGACGAAGGAATTGAGAATAAGAACTCCGGATGGAAGTAAGCAAGGCCTCTGCTGACCATCTAGCAGGGGAAAGAGGCTGAAGGGGCGGGCCGCGTGGGGCCGGCGGCCAGAGCAGGCCCCGGAGGAATGTACCCTGGAGCAGAGGCCAGAGCAGGCCCTGGAGGAATGTACCCGGGAGCAGAGGCCGGAGTGCACGAGGCTGATCACCCCATGCTCGTCACCACCCCCAGGCGTCCGCTCTCGCTCCCGCCCCTGCAGGCATGACAGCCCAGCTGCTGGTGGCAGGGCTGGGCCAGAGAGGGACTTGCAAGGATGCTTAGCCTCACAGCAGTGGGAGCAGATGGCTCCGACCCCCCAGCTCTGCCCTCGGCCTGACTGGCCCAAGCCCAGCATGGGGAGGGCAGGCTGGGTCACGGGCTTCCCCTTCGCCTGAGCGCCCTCCAGGTGACACAGGGACCTTGGACTTGAGCCACTCTGTCTGGGTGTGAATCCCACTTCTAGCCCATTCATACTACATTTGCCATCATCTTCCTTAACTATTTGGTCCCTCAGTTTTCTCATCTGTAAAATAGGGATGGCCACAATACCACCTTGTAATTTAACAAGCACAAGCATTATTTTACAAGCACTTACTCTGTGCCAGGAACACTCGTAGGAAACGAATCTTTTTGATTCTTTAACAACCCCATATGGTAGCTGCCGTTTACAGATGAGGAAACCGAGGCACAGAGAGGCAAAGCAACTTTCCTGAGCTCACCCCACTACTAAGTGGTATCGTGGGGCTTCATATCCAGCAGGCTTATTCCAAGTTCATGCTCTTCATGAACAGACACTGCTTCTCACAGAGCCATCCAGGGGTTGTTGAAAGTGACTTGCTGTGTGTGAAGACTTTCGAACAGTGCCTGGTGTGTGGTAAGTACACATGAGTATGAGCATTATGACGGGACATAGGGCATGGGGATGCACCCTCCCTCCCGTTTCTTCAAAAGCAGGCATCTGACCCTTTTTGGGGGAACCAGATGACAGCTCTGGCCCCCTTCCCAGAAGTCTACAGCCACCCATACACTCCGGCCCCAAACCTATCCACGTGGTCTCCCCTCACTTGCCAAGTCTCATGGGTGGAAATACAAGTAACTGAGCAAATCTCCATTCCCCACAGAGAAAAAGTTGGGTGGTGCTGGGGAAGGGCTGTGAGTCAAGGCTAAGGATTCTGAACAAGGCTGGGTGGAGCTCCTCAAAAGTCCTCGGGCGGGCAGTTCCCATGCTCCTCCCCACACCCTTCCCTCTGCCCTCCCGGCCTTCCCCACATACCTTCTCTCACCACCATGGAGTTCGACCTGAATGCAGGTGCGCTCCTGGGAGGTGGGGAATTTAAGGGGCTGGGGGATGGGGGGAGGCAGATTAAAACCCAGAAACCTCTTCCAAGGAGGCATCCCCTACACCTGCACCAGCCCATCCGGCGTCTCTCTCCACAGCTCTGGACTCCACCTCCAAGAAGCCACAGGGGGCAGCCCAGGCGGGAGACCACAAACACAGCACCCCCAAAGTTCAGGGCCAGGCAGAGGCCAGGGCAGCTGATAAAGCCAAGGTAAGTCACCTCGAGACCAGGCACAGTCCTCCCGGTATGAAGGTGGGCGGTTGCCTTTGAACCCAGGGTCCTGCCAGAGGCTGGGCTTCCAACCTGGGGGCAGAGCCTGGGTAAGGGACCCTGGCCTCACCGTCCCGCCTCCAACTAGCATGGCCACGGTCACGGCAGCTCCTCAGACTCCAGCAGCAGCAGCAGCTCTGGCGACTCGGACACGGAAGCAAAGGTAAGAGCCTTCCCTGGCTCCCAGGCGGGTGCCGGCACTCCAGGTGAGAGGAGAGTCCCGGCCGTATCCTGGGCTTTCACCGACGGAACCGGCTCTCTCCTCTTCCATCCCCACCGCCCTCGGCCCCACAGCCTCATGCTGCCGCCTCGGACAAGCACAAGAATACAGCGGGCAAGGTCAAGAAGCCCAAGGTGAAGAAGAAGGAGAAGAAAGACAAGGCAAAGAAGGAGGCTCCTCACTGACCGGCCTGGGCGGAGGGGTCTCATTAAACCTTTTCTCGGCCCGAAGGCCGCCTTCCGGTAGCGAGGTGCAGTGATGTCCCGGCTCCGCCCGCCCCCCCCCCCCCCCGCCGGGCAGCCGTGCCGCCAAGGAGATGCCGCCCACGCCGTGCCCATCACGGTTTATTGTTTCCTGAACAGCGGCCGCACCGCGGGGCGGCCTGTGCAGCTGGAGATCTCAGCACCTCTGCGAGGGGAGGGGCGGGGTCTCGGGAGGGGGGCGGCGGGCAGAGGAGAGGCGGGCAGAGGAGAGGCGGCCGTGGCGGCCTGGAGCAGAGCAGCAGCGGGCGGAGCGGGCCGGCCGCCCTCACCGCACCAGGTGGAAGGTGAGCCAGTACATGAGCAGGGGCTGCGCCGCCGCCACGGCCATGGTCAGGTACATGCGCAGCTGGTTCCTGGCCCCGCGCACCGGAACCCCCTCCGCCGCGGCCTCCGCCAGGATCTTCAGGCGCAGCGTCCGGATCTGGGGCGGGAGGGGGTTCGCCCTGAGCCCTCGGCCACGCGGGGCCCCTGGGTGTACTTCCGAGCCCTGCCTCCCTTCCTCCACAGGGACGGCTCTGCTCGTGGGGAGGCTGGGTCTCCCCCCAAACCTCCAAACAGACGGTGAGGACTTGCTCCTACCCAAACCTTGTGAGGAAATGTGACACATTTCCTCACATATGCTCACACTCCATCCTCCCAGTACCCTAAGGTGCAATTATTCCCCTTTTTACAAAAGGGGAAACGAGTTTAGTATATGTGCTGCCGAAGCGAGCACAAGGGAAACGAGTTTAAAGAGGGGAAGTGATTTGTCTGGGACCCAGAGAGGTTACTTCCAGGGGTACTGAAACTTTTTCGTCCTTACAGAAATGCTGGCAGGAAAGCCAGCGTAAGGAGTGTGGAGTGTGGAGGGAGGAAGGCAAGAACCCACTTTAAGAGCCCAGCTGGCTCCTTCTCTTCCTTCAGACCCCAGCTTGGACACCCCCTCTTCCAGGAAGCCCCCCTGGCCCCCAGGCTGGGGTAGCCACTTCAGTGCAACAGTGTGCCTCTTGTCTCAACTCCCCACCTGACATCCTCTGCGTGGATGCCTCCAGGGGACCCCAACTCTGAGGGCTGTGCCCTCAAGCCTCCTCCTCCCCTCAGCCCCAGCTCACCATGAACACAAAGATAGACACGCAGCACCAGCCCAGCACCAGGTAGTAGCCGATCTTCCCAAAGAGCAGGCCCATAAGGACCCCGCCGATCATCCTGGGAGGAGAGGGGAAGGCTGGTCTGAGGGCGAGGGCTCAGGGCCGGGGCTGGCAGGGGGTAAGAGGGAGGGGGTACTTACCCAACATATTTGTAGCCCAAGAAGGCCACCAGATCGATAGTGGTGAGGTCGGTGTTGACAGTGACCAGGTAGAGGCTGAGCAGGATGGCCAGCACCTCCAGCGTCAGCCAGGCCAGCGCGGAGCTCGCCTGCAGCCCCAGGAGGTCCGGGGAGAACCTGCGGGCACCAGGCTCCCTCACTCGCTGACCGGCTCCCACCCTCCCAGAGTGTCCACCTGCGGACGGCAGGGACCAAGATGGCCCTGGACCCTGCCCTCCTGGAAATCTCATTCCAGGGAAGGCGGACCTGTCCTCAGGGACGGCCCAGAGCAGTGAGGGCTGGGAGGAGGGAAGCACAGGGCAGGGGGGGTGGGGGTGCCGGACCCAGCTGGGAGAAGGTATCAGAGAGGGCTTCGCAGAGGAGAGGACCCCCAAGCTAAGGCCTGAAGGGCAAGGAGCTGACTGGGGCAGAAGGACCATGGTCTCTGCCATATCCCCAGCGCGTCAGCAATTAATGGATTCTAATGACAATCATTTTCGATGCCACGGAAGAAACGAACTGGGGCCTATGAGCAAGAGGTGGGGGCTTGACCCAGGCTGGGAGGTGGGAAGGCTTCCCTGAGTACATGACATCAGAGTGGAGACATCGCGAGTGAGCAGGTGCTCCGCAGGTGACGACCATACTCCTGCGCGGGGCTCTGGAAGGCAGCACCAGGCCCTCCGACGATGGAAAGAGGCCCGGGGCGGCGCAGCAGGACGAGGAGGGGCAGAGCGAGGCTGCGTGGAGGCAGTGGCATGCCGGGCTAAGGGGCCCGGGCTCGATCTGGGGACGGGAGAGCTGCGGGCAGCTTCTGAGCAGGGTGGGACATGGCCAGGCCCACATCCCAACAAGACCTTCTTGGCTTCGGCTGGAGTCGGTGCAGAGGGGCGTGGGCAGGGCAAGCTGGTTAGGAGGCAGTGAGGACAAACGCAATCTGGTGGTGGAGGCTAAGGAGGAGGATGGAGTTAGAGTCACCTGCTACAGGTGTGGTGAGGGGCGGCACGTGGGTGGAAAGCGAGCGAAGAGGGCAAGGTGACGCTCAGGGGACACCGAGGGCTTTGCACCGGGCCAACTGGGAGCGCGGCGGGGCTGTCCTGAGAGAGGAGATCTAAGACACCTTCCTGACTGCCCCTCGGCCCCCCAACCCTCACCCCGCTCTGCCTACTCCAGGCCTCCCTTACCTATCCTGGGTCCCCAGCGCCAGGCCAGCCACCAACACATAGGTGATGAAAGCCATAGCTGTGGGAGCAGACACACAGACACGGGTCAGAGGAAGACGGACCATCCTGGGCCACTGGGCACCTAAACCTCTGCCCTGGACATGCCCCCCCAAAGGGAGGAGGGTGCCGGGCAGTGCCGGGGAGGGTGAAACCTGGAATGTAGAGGTCAGGAGCGTTGACGTCAAAGCGGGGGGCCACTGGTGTGTCCTGCTGGTACTGCACTTCCCAGTCCTGTGGGGACAGTGGGGGAACAGCAGGACCCCCAGAGCTGGGCTCCTGCCACACTGCTTCCAGACCCTCCTTTGGGCAAACCTACCCACCCCGTTCCTCCCCCACACCCCCCCCCACCTCTACCCAGAGGTCCACCCTCCTTGCGTTCCCCTCGGCGGAGGCAGCGCTGACCTGGTGCAGGTAGGGGAAGAAGAGCAGGCCTAGCTTCTTGCCCACGTACATGGTGTCCACGGCAAAGTAATACTTGAGCTTGGTGACGGGGATGAAGCGGTCAATCTGGGGGCAGGCAGAGCCCAAGCCTGAGGCCCTGGCCTCACGGCCCCCGCTGCCCCCTGCCACCCCCCTAGCCCAGAACTCACATTCTTATCCACCAGCTCCTTGCCCTGTGCAGCCAGGCTGCTCCCATAGGCCATGGCCATGTTGGACACAGGATCGGCCAGGAAGGCCTCCTGGGGCGACGCGGAGGCTGCCGGGTAGCCCAGGCTGCCGGGCGCCCGTTGGGCCCCATAGCTGCGACTCTGGGCAGAACTTGTGTCATCGAAAAGCTGGTGGGGGTCAGCCATGCCCGGCTGGGACACGGGGATCCTCCGCTTCGACGCTGCAGGGGAAGAGGGGTGGGGAGCCTCACTCGTGCTGCAGGTGCTCTCCTCTCGCGGCGGCGAGGCGCTGCTTTTGGTGTCAGATGGGCCACCTGGTCAAGTGCAGGCAGGGTTTGTCTGCTCATCACCCATCCGTCCAAGTAATAGTGGCGATACGCTGAGAGCTACTGTGTACTGCACCCACTGTGCACAGAATCCTGTACAAACAAGGTCTCTCTGTGTCTCCCTTCGTGCCCTCCTCCACTTGTTCGCTCCGGCCACATGGCTACACGGGCCTCAGTGCTCACCGAGAACACGGGGCGTGCTCCCACCTTGCGGCCTCTGCACCGGCTGTTCCTCCGCTTGGATGCTTGCCCTTCCCCCATGGCCCTCCCCTCCGCCGGGTCTCGGCTCTGGGGTGCCTTCCCGAAAACCGACCATCTTGTCTACAACCGCATGTCGCCCCCGCGGGGGCATCCCCCGCTGCCCACCCCCCTTCCCTGCTTCGCTTATATCCAGAACTCAGCGCCAGCTGGCATACTAGCTGTTGTATTTTGTTCGCTGCCTCCCCACTAAAATGCACCCCTCCAAGGGGCGGAGCTTCGTCTCGGTCACGGATGAACCAGGGCTAGCGCAGGTGCCTGACAAAACCCGGAGAAGGGAGTAAGCGGCTAGCCCCACGCCACAGACGTGGTAACCGAGGCCCAGACGGGGGAAACGACTTGTGCCAAGGGCCACGCTGAGTGAGCGGCAGGGCAGGAGCGTAGCCCGGGAGGGCCTGATCGCTAGGACAACTGAATCGTGCCCCAGCACTCGGTGCCTACCAGGCCGTGTGCCCGGCGCGGTGGCTGAACTCGTGTAATCCTCACGGCAGCCCCACTTGTGCCAGTGCTACCACCGTCCGCATTTCACAGACAGGAAAAGCGAGCCCCGGAGAGGCTCTGGCCCTTGGCCAAAGTCACTCAGACAGTATGAAGCAGAGCCAGGTTTCAGGTCTGGAAAAGGTCCCTCTGGCTTCCTGTGGGGAAGAGACTGGGGTGGGGGCCAGGAAGAGGGAGGAAGTTGGATGGAGGGGTTGGACAGTGGTGGGGAGGGGGAGGGGCTCCTTCTGGCCAGATTCCAGAGGGAGGGAGGGACGGGGCTGGCTGGAGGTGGGCTCAGGTGGGGCAGGGTAAAGACGGAATATGGAGACGATGGATTTGAACCCAGCACTCTGCCTCCGGGGTCCCTGCTCCTCACCCACAAGCAATGCCACCACAGCAGACACAGAGCTCCGCCTGTGTGCCAGGCGCCCTTGTGGGCACAGGGAACGTGTATGAGGGTTACGTGGGATGGGGGAGAGGAATCAAATAATCTGCTTCCTGACTTTGCACCTCAGTTTTCTCTTCTGAAGAACACAGTTAATGGCCTAAGGCCAGTGACACGCACAGACTCCTCAGCCCCTGGCCTGGCACATAGAAAGTGTCAATTCTGGCCACCTGTCATCCATGACTAGTCCCTCACCTCTTCCTCTCAGTCATCTGTAGCCTGAAAAGACCCAGGTGTGCACCTTCCCAAGGCATGCCGCACTGGCCCGGCCCCTGATCCCCAAGGTCCACTCTCCTTTCCCCTCTCCCGCTTCTGACAGCTTTGGTGCAAGCCCTTCCTCCCTCCCTGTCACTCCCCAGCCCCTCGATATTTGGGGTTGTGCCCCCACCCCCCGCAGCCTCCTGAACACCCCTCTGTACTGCCGGGCCAAGACCATTAGCCGCTGTCATTCAACTCAAGCCCTCCGCAGCATTTGATGCCACCGTCCCAAACACCGTACCTACCTCCTTCTCTTCCCTGAGCCCCACAAACACCTCCTGAGCACCCCTATGTCTTAGGCTCTGCTGCAGGCATGGTGGATATAGCAATGATCAAAAAGACAAAAAACCCCGGGGCACCTGGATAAGCTCAGTCGGTTAAGCATCTGACTCTTGGTTTGGGCTCAGGTCATGATCTCACGGTTCATGGGACGGGGCCGCTCTGGGCTCTGTGCTGACAGTGCAGAGCCTGCTAGGGATTCTCTCTCTCTACCCCTCCCCCATTCGCTCTGTCTCTCAAAATAAATAAATAAACTTAGAAAACTTGATTAAAAAGACAAAAACTCCTGCCTCTGCGGAGCCAAAGGTCCCCGGATGTGGGTCCCTCTCCAGCCAGGACTTCTCTTCAGCTCTCTCTGCGACATGTGGGCGATTTTTCCACCCTTCTGGCTTTGCCTCTCACCTAGAGCCGTCTCACCCAGCCACGTGCGCCTTGGGCCCTGGGCTCGGTCTCCAGCCGCCACTTCTCTCCTGGCTCCATATCTAGGTGTGGCCAGTTCCTGACAATGCCCTCCGGCTGCCCCTGGGGCCTCCCCTCAGGGTCCAAGCCCCTGGCTCCCCTTCTTTCTGACATCCAACCAACTAGTCGCTAGTTCTCACCCACTGCGTCTCAGTGTTTCTCCCCCCCTTTCAGACCTTGTCATCTTGAGCCTGACTTAGAGGTCCCCCTGCCCATTCTTGCCACACCAACCTTCTCTCCTGTTAGCAGCCAGAGCTTTTTAAATGCAAAAGAGAATATGTCATGTCCTCCGCCTAAGATCAGTCCCCACTGTGCTGAGACTAAAATCCACGTGCGTGCATGACCCAGCCGCGCCAACCCCCCTCGTTTGCTACGCTGCCTCTCCTGGGACTCACAGCGCCCCGTCACACTGGCCCCTTGGGCCCTGACTCTGCCAAGCTCCTAGCCCACTCGGGCCTTTGAACATGCAGGGCCATCAGTTTGGAACATCTGCCCATGATTCACACCTGCCAATAGAGCACTCAGGCCTCAGCTCAATCGTTTCCTCCTCAGAGAGCTTCCTCACTCCTTAGTCCAAAGCACCAGCCCCACCTTGTTCTCATAATATCCAGTGGTTCTTTTTTCCTGTCTGAGCACTTACCACATTTGCTAACTATATATACATTTATCCACTTGTTTACTCGGCACAAGCTTCCAATGCTTTTCCCTCTCACCCTTAATCCCCTTCTCCGGGCGAATTCCTCATCATAAAACATACCTCTTTCAGGAAGCATCACTGACACGCCTAATCTGGGCTACCACAACCCCTCCATCCCCCGCGCGGACCTGTGCCTCCCCCATCAGGTCACCATCGCTCTAAAAGGGGGCTGTCTTCTGCTCTGTGCTGGTGGCTGCATGCGGACAGGAACCAGGGCTGTCTGGGCACTGCTGCAGCCCCAGCAACACCCACCACAGGGCCAGCCAGGCACCTTATTCGTGGTTGAAGAAAGAATGAGAACATGGTGCCTCAGAACCCCCCTCACATGCTGGATTATTCTCTTTACAGCCCTAACTACTCCCCAGGTTGTCTTTTTTATTTATTTATTTATTTATTTATTTATTTATTTATTTATTTATTTCTGATAGAGAGAGTGTGAGCAGGGAAGGGTCGGAGAGAGAGGGAGACACAATCCAAAACAGGCTCCAGGCTCTGAGCTGGCTGTCAGCACAGAGCCCGACGCGGGGCCCGAACCCACGAACCGCGAGATCATGACCTGAGCCGAAGTCGGACGCTTAACCGACTGAGCCACCCAGGCGCCCCTACTCCCCCGGTTTTTTTGCTGACTTGTTTGTTCCGAGTTTAGTGTCTGCCTCACCACCAAACTGAGTTTTAAGTTAACAAAGACTAATGCTATGCTAGTTACCACCAGGTACCCAAATCCCAGCACGGGGCCTGGCACAAGGGGAGGGGGGCGGGAGGTGAGACAGGACATGCTGAACGAATAAATGAGATGTACGCACACTCACGGAGATGAAAAGGAACTTAACGAGAGATACAAATTAAGAGAAACGGGAAGAGGGGGCGAACAGTCCAAAATATACAGGTTCAAATCTAATGTGAGAGGTAAACATGGCCCTCTGAGCTCACGAAGGGCTTGAACGCTGTCCTACGGAGCGTGGGCGACAGCCGGTGGCCACAGAAGGGTGGGGAGAAAGCGGCTCGCTAACTGCAAATGAATGAAAGTCGTCTTTTCCTGCACACCACACAACATCCCGCCCAAAGTTGTTTCCTTCCAAAGGAATTTCCCAAAGAAAAGACGAATCGACCCCAAAGCGCCCCCTACACGGACCTGGCATCTCAGCGCTGTGCACGCCCTGAAGCTCGGGATCCCTGACCCCGTGACCTCCGACCTGCAGCGACCTCGCCAACTGCCGCGGCGGCCCCGCCACGCCCCTGCAGCCCGCCCGATCTCCTACACCGGCCACGTACGCCACTTACGCTGCCGGGGCGTCCCCGCCGCCGCCAAGCCTGCCGGGTGCATCCTTCACCGCCGCAGCCGCTGCCGCTGCCGCCGCCCTAGCCGCGGTTCGAAATGTGCCCGCCCGGCTCCCGTAGCCACGCCCCACCGACGACACGACAACCAATAGGCATAATGATCGAACCGAGGCCACGCCCCTCGCGGAGGCCTGGACCAGTTGGCAGCGGGCAAGAGGCGGGGAGCAGAGGCCGGTGGTGTAAGGCGAGAGTCAGCACCTAGAGGGGCGGGTGGGCGGAGCCATAGGCGGTCTTGCGCATGACGGGAAATGCAGGTATCGGGAGAGGAGACCTATGGGAAATGGAGTTCTCTATGTAGACGGACGCTCAATTTGGATCGCGGAGAGCACTAGGGAGCCAGGGAAGGGTGTAGAGCAGAAGAGATCCATTTGTGTTCTCGAGGGCCTAAGCGGAGTTGTGCAGACTCTAACTGTTGTACAATTTTGGCCGACCTTAGGTATTAAAGTGAATACACAGAGTGAGAAAAGGACACCTAATATGTCAGGTAGGAGGAACCAGGTGTCTTTCTTTCGAGATATCTTTAAACATTTTCCCAGAGAGTCATAAAAATGCTCTTGCGTTGCGACCCGGCTTCCCCTGTCTGCCAAAAACGCTCTGCAACCTCCAGCAACACACAGCACACACCTGCCAAGTGAGGAGCCTTAAAAGTTGTTTCCTTAATCTCTCTCTGTCCCTCAGTCTCCCTCTATCTCTCCCCCTTCTCTGTCTCTCCGTCTCCTCCACTTATCTCAGGCAAAAATAATGGTAGAAGTGACTTCTGGGTAGTGATAGCACTCCGGAAGGCTGTCAGCAAGTGTCCGTGTCACTGTGGCTTTCCCTTTCCTCCTCTGAGATCTTTTCTAGGAAACTTGAGGACTGTTCCTGGTCTCTCAGTTATTGAGTCCTGGCTCAGTCGCGGTCCTTTTTACATGAGTGAGGCTCCCCCATTCCCCTTCTGCACCTCCGGCTTAGCATCTATCCCTCGGGCTCTACTACCGCGTCTTCACCTTCAGCTCTCCCTTCTCTTCTAAGTTCTTCCGTGACTATTTTGTAATAGTAATTTATTAATACGCAAGTGTTTTGGCTTCCTGTTGGCCTCAACCAGTTTTGTGACTAGTCCATTTTTAAGCCTAAATATTCTCATCTGTTTCATGGGAATAATACAGGAGAGGTTGAGGATTCGATTCAAGCCTCCTGCGTCCACAGGGCCTGCCGTATTGTAAGCCTTTGATCACTGGCAGCTACAGTTACTGGTTTTATTATCAGGCGTCTCTTCCTGTTGGTTGTCAGCCTCAAGTCGGGCTCTGCCCCTAGAACTGCCACAGTTTCATAAATAGAGCCAGCTAGGGTGTGTCTGAGCTGGGCCCTAAGCCCCACTCCTCTGCCGTTCCGGTGTGGTGGGGATTCCTGGCAGCCCTCCATAGGCCTTTAGGGGGAGTGCTGAGTTACAGCTGCAGGGGGATGTGAAGAACAGGGAACAGGGAAGGAAAAATTCCCCTTAAACAGAGGTGTGATTCTGGTTCTACCAGAACGGGGGCTCACTCGTATTCACCCCCCACCCCCCCCTTTTTTTTTTGTAGGCTCCACACCCAGCATAGAGCCCAACGTGGGACTCAAACACACAACCCTGAGATCAAGACCTGAGCTGACATCAAGAGTTAGATACCCAATCGGGGCGCCTGGGTGGCTCAGTCGGTTAAGCGTCGGACTTCGGCTCAGGTCAGATCTCACCGTTCGTGGGTTCGAGCCCCACATCGGGCTCTGTGCTGACAGCTCAGAGCCTGGAGCCTGTTTCAGATTCTGTGTCTCCCTCTCTCTCTGCCCCTCCCCCACTCATGCGCGCGCTCTCTCTCTCTCTCTCTCTCTCTCTGTCTCAAAAATAAATAAACCATAAAAATTAAAAAAAAAAAAAAGAGTTGGATGCCCGATTGAGTGAGCCACCCAGGTGCCCCTCACTTTTTTTTTTCCTAGTTACCTTTAATGTCTCAGCTCAGATATCCCCTTCCTCAGGTAGTTTTCTTGACCTCCCCAAACTGGACCAGTTACCTCTTCTGGGTTCCTGTGGGCTCCACAGCCCTTTAGGCTTGGCGCATCCCAGCTCGGGTCACTCTGCCTGTGCTTCCCTCATCAGACCCCTGACCCTCTGGGCTGTCGCTCCGTTGAAGCGACAACAGGGTCTGGGAGCCCCCTGAGGGCAACGTCTAGAACTTGAGGACAAGGTCCGGAACTGTCTTGGTCACTGCTGTGTTCCCAGCATCATTCACCAAAGGGCCAGGCACAAAGTCGGCGCTGAGCAAATATTTGAGCTAAGGCACCCCCTCTGGCCATGAGCTCACAGACGACGCCTGCCTCTGTGGTGTCCCTCATTGCACAGGCGTCCGCTCCGGGTGGACGCAACCCCGCGCCACAGCGCACGACGTGGCGAATGGAGCAAGGACTGGATTTCACTTTGTCGTCTTGTCCCGGCAACCACGCGCCTGGATGCAGTGCACGGCGTGTGCCGCCTGGCGCGAGAGCCCCCGACGAGTCCGGGAGCAACTTCTCGGTCTGCGAGAGGAAAAAGTTCGAATTTTCTCTAACATAGGGAGCTGCGACTCCTGGGCGGAAGAGAAGGAAGGAATGGAGGAACCCCCTACCCTTTCCGTCCCGTTGGAGTCCTGAGTCCGGGAACGCGCTGCTCCTCCCTCTCCGCCCTCACCGCCCTCACACCTGGCGCTGGGGCGTGCCTCAGTTTACCGGAGGCGGGGCGTCCCTCCACCCCCGCCCCTCTCCTTTTCCCTCTTCCTCTTCGGGGCGCTAGCAGGCGCGCGTCGAGCGCTGCCGGAACTGAAGCTGGGCTCCCGGCGGCCGGGAGGGCGGGGGCCACGTCAGCGGGGCGGCGGGGGCCGTGCGAGCGCGGGTCGCGGCGGGCGCCATGCGGCGGGGCGCACTCCTGGCGGGCGCCCTGGCGGCGTACGCCGGGTACCTGGTGCTGGGCGCGCTGCTGGTGTCGCGGCTGGAGGGGCCGCATGAAGCTCGCCTCCGGGCCGAGCTGGAGACGCTGCGCGAGGAGCTGCTGCGGCGCAGCCCGTGTGTGGCCGCCCCCGCCCTGGACGCCTTCGTGGAGAGGGTGCTGGCGGCCGGACGGCTGGGGCGCGCCGCTCTCGCCAACGCTTCGGGGCCCGCCAACAACTCCGACCCCGCCTGGGACTTTGCCTCCGCTCTCTTCTTCGCCAGCACGCTGGTCACCACCGTGGGTACGTGAGCGCCGCCCCACCTGGGGACCCGGGAGTTATCACGAAATACTCTTATCCCAGCGGATCAGTCGCAGTCCCCCTTGGGGCTAGGATCCCCTGGAACCCCGCCCCCCCAGCGGGGATCCACGACCCGCACCTGGGAATCCGGGCCTCTCGGGAGGCCCCCGTCCAGGCCCTTTCTCCAAGCAGGAAACCTCCCCCGTCCCAGTTCCCTCCTGGACTAGGACCGCCCACAGAGTACCTTCCAGGGACCCCATTTCTCCGCCTGAACCCCCTTGAAGATCCATGTCCGTCCAGCCCCCTCTGGGCCTAGGACTCCCCTCTCCCCCTCTGGACGGGGACCTCCCCGCACATGGACCTCTGCCCTTCTCTCTGGGCCCAGACCGCCATTCCCTCCAACACTATCTCCTGAGTCTCCAGATATGTCCTTTGGAGATGCCCCTTGGGAAATCCTACCCCAGTCTCCTCCTGACCCTGGTGCCCCAGCAAGGACCCTGAATCCCCACACCCTCTCAGGGCGCCATCACTAAAGACTTTACTGCCCGCACAGACCCCTCAACAAGGACCAGGGCCTCCGATCAGTGACTTCCGCCCTCTGGACCTAGACCACCCCCCCAGCAAGGGCCCCCCATCCTCCTCCAAACCAAGGGCCACCCTCATCCTCATATTCCCCAGCGAGCAGCCCTGACTGCAGACACCGGACCCTTCCATTTTGACACCTCCCCTGTACTGGGAGCCTCCAAGGCAGGTTTTCCTCCCAGAAGGGCCACCCCCATTCCCTCCGAACCTGGGACTTCCAATTCAGCCGCTCCCCACTGGGGATGCACGAGAGGGATATGTCGTGGAGAAGCTAGAGCAGCTCCAGGAAGGACCACTGAGCTTCCAGCCAGAAGCCCCTCAGCCAGGACTTCCACCTCTCCAATCCCAAAACCAGCTCCAGCAAAACTTCCAGCACTTTCCAAACCAGAGATTCTCCATAGGAGCCTCTTTGGACCCAAGAACCCCTAGATGAGACTCTCAGCACTCTCTTGACCCTTGTACCCCTCAGTAAGAGCCCCAGAGCCACCTGGACCTTCTCCCAGGGACCCCAGCGCCCTTTGCACACACTGTCTGTGAGAGCCAAAGCCCTCTTCACACCCCGCTCCACAGGAGGCCGGCTGAGGGACTGGGCTCTCCGCACCCGCTACCCCTGCCCACCCTGGACTGCCTAAGGTTGGGAGTTTTCTGGGAACCTGGCCCCCCCTCCGGGCTTCCCCAGACCCACAGATGGGACCTCCGTCTCCACCCCAACACTACCCCAGCCTGCTTCGGACCTGAAAGTCTCCCCTCTATCAAGGATGCCCCATGGGGCGCCTGGGTGGCTTAGTCGGTTAAGCGTCCGACTTTCGCTTGGGTCAGGATCTCGCGGTTCGTGGGTTCGAGCCCTGCGTCGGGCTCTGTGCTGACTGCCAGCTCAGAGCCCGGAGCCTGTTTCAGTCTGTGACTCCCTCTCTCTCTGACCCTCCCCTGCTCACGCTGTCTCTCTCTCTCTCCTAGAAATAAAAAAAAAAAAAAAGGATGCCCCAGGACCTCAGCACCCTGGGACCCTCCCCAGTGTCCACTCAGGGCCATTCCTGCTTTCCCCCCTTCACTCTCTCTGCCAGGCCCCGGGACACCTGTCCCCTCCCGTCATCCCCTTGGCACTGCCTACCCACATGAGGTGCCCTCAAGCGTCCTCGGCCTCAGAAGCCCCCTTGCCTGACGACTCCCCTCCCCGTCCCGTTTGCGGTCCACAGATGCCACCACTGGTGCCTGTCACCTCCTTCCTCTCAGCCCCAGACTCTTAACTGAGGCCTCAGGACTCAGGATTGCAGCCCCAAAGCAGGACCCATTCCAAACCAGGACACTGGGACTCCCCAGATCCCCTTCTCTGAACACCACCGCCCCGCCCCCACCCCGCCCCCCCAGCCCTACCCTGAAAGTCCCTTCTTACTTCGGTGCCCAGACCTGGGAAATTCCTTTGTTGTCAGGTTCTGCGGGTCCTCCCACTGCCCATATCTAGCCCCCAAACTTCCTCTTCATCTCTGTGGGGGATTGTGGGTGGGGGTAGACTGGGACAGGCCCAGACTCTTAACTCCCCCTCCTGCTGGAAGTAGCAGGTGGCCTAACCTTTGGTGCCCATTGTGTGGACCAGCAAACCAAGACCACAGACAGCAAGGCCAAGGATGCTTCTCCAGCCTCTCCCACCAAGCTGGCTGGGCCTGCCTGACCTGCTTCTGGGCCTCACTGGGCACATCAGTGTCTCCCTTTGCCTCCTCCCAGATCCTGGCAGCTTCTGACAAGTCGCTTCAAGGCAGGACAGGTGCAGAAGCCAAACTCAAGGCAGGCACATCCTGGGTTCGGATTCCCCGCTCAGCTGCTGCTCCTCTGGGCCTCGGTGTCCTCCCTCATCTCTAAAATAGAGATCCTCACACTCCCCACTTCTCAGTAGTAGTGAAACCCGTAGAGGACTTAGCACAGACGGGCTTTAACTAGGTCAGTACATCAGCCTTGTGAGGCGGGTGCCATTTGCGGCCCTGTTTTTCTCAGCAGTAGAAACTGAAGCCCAGAGGGGCGCCTGGGTGGCTCAGTCGGTTAAGCATCTGACTTCGGCTCAGGTCATGATCTCACGGTTTGTGGGTTCAAGCTCTATGTCGCCTCTGAGCTGACAGCTCAGAGCCTGGAGCCTGCTTCAGATTCTGTGTCTCCCTCTCTCTCTGCCCCTCCCCTGCTCATGTTCTGTCTCTCACTGTTAATAATAAATAAATGTTTAAAAAAAAAAAAAAAGAAACTGAAGCCCAGAGAGGTGGGACGATTTGCCCAAGACCACACAGCTAGGAAGGTGTAGAGAGGAGATATGAACCGAGGCCTTGAGGCCTCAGAGCCCCCATGCTTTGAACCCATACATCATGCTAGGCTTCATAGGCTTGCATGAAGAAGGGTGATATGCGTGTGTATTGTGGGAAAAAACGTTTATTCTTTTTTTTTTTTTTTTTTAGTTTATCTGTTTATTTTATTTGAGAGAGAGAGAGAGCATGAGCAGGAGAGAGGCAGAGAGAGCGAGGTCAGAGGATCTGAAGCGGGCTCCACGCTGACAGTGGAGAGCCCAAAGGGGGACTTGAACTCACGAACTGAGAGATTATGACGTGAAGGGAAGGCAGATGCTTAACCTTACCTGACTCAGCCACCTAGGTGCCCCACAAAGTTTATTCGGATACTTCTTAAAAATGGTAGGTTACTGGGGTGCCTGGGTGGCTCAGTCAGTTAAGTATCCAGCTCTTGATTTCAGCTCAGGTCATGATCTCACGGTTTGCAGAGCCCGACATGGGACTCGATCTCACAAACCATGAGATCATGACCTGAGCCGAAATCAAGAGCTGAATACTTAACTGACTGAGCCACCCAGGCACTCCAATAACCTACTCATGCTTGCTCTCTCTCTCTCTCTCTCAAATAAAATAAATAAATAGATAAACTAAAAAAGAATAAACTTTTTTTCCCACAATACACATGCATATCACCCTTCTTCAAGGGTACCCCCCACCCCGCCCTTCCCCCATTTGCTCTCTCTCAAAAATAAATAAACATTTAAAAATATGGTAATTTATTACAATAGGGGAGTGCGACTGACCTCAACTCTGAATATAGCAGAGACAACTAGCGATTTAGAGCCAAGAGTGGAGGGGTCAGCAGATAGAAAAATTACCAAGAGGTGACACAGAGGGGAGGGCAAGTCTTAGTAAACTGGCTTAGGATCTCTGCTAAAACCGGACCTAGTCAAGAAGAGAGCTCAGAGGAACCTGACTTTGACGTTTGGTCAAGGAGGGAGTCCTGGACTTGTAGTAACTGAGGTTTACTGAGCCTTGGTATCATTGCCATTGTCATTGTTGGTGAAGCCAGGAGGCCTGAATGTATCTTAGAGAAGTAGAAAACCAGACATCCTTCAGAGAGACGGTGGAAGAGTCAGCCCACCAGGAACCAGGAACCAGGAACCGGGAACTGGGAACGGGAGAGAGGAAGTGAGCGTTACAGCCATGCTAACTCTTTCCGTGCCCTTGCCAAGTGCTATGCCCCGTTCCAGCCTGCAGGATTATTGCAACTGCGCTTGAGGAAGGAATTGTTTTGAGTCCATTTTGCCGTACTCGGAGCAAACTGAGGCTCGGAGAGAAGAAACTACGTGGCCAAGGTCACACGGAATAAATGGCGAAGCACTGACTTGGACTCTGCTCTTTGAGGGAGTCAGTCGAGGCTCACAGCCTCCATTCTGTGCTAACTCCATGATGTCTCTGTTTATAAGGCTTATGTGTCATTAGCAAACCTGTCATTTCAGCTGGGCCGCTGGAGTTTGTCCATCCAAATCCTTGTAATTAATGAAGGTTGGAGCCATATGTGAGGGATAAACCTCACTTAACAGTTGCTTAAATAGACAAGTGTTTATTTCTTGCTCACATTCAAGGTTGTCAGTCTAAGATTGGCATGGTGCATCAGGGACCCTTGTGTGCCTCTGTGAAGTTTCCATTCACAAGGTCGCCTCATGGTCCAAGATGGCTGCCCCACCCCAGCCTTCATGTCTATGTTCCAGCCAACAGCAGGAGGGAGGAAGAGAGGGGATAGGCATTCTCCTCCTTTTAAGGACCACTTTTTTTTTAAGTTTATTTATTTATTTTGAGTGAGAGAGAGAGAGTAGGGGAGGGGGAGGCAGAGAAGGAAAGAGAGAATCCCAAGTAGGGTCTGCACTGTCAGTGGAGAGCCCGACGCAGGGCTCAAACTCACACACCATGGGATCATGACCTGAGCTGAAATTAAGAGTCGGACACTTAACCGACTGAGCCTCCCAGGTGCTCGAGGACACTTTCTAGAAGTTGCTTGCTTCTCTCCTGTATAATTCCTTGACCAGAAATTATTCCAGAGTCCTGCCGAGCTGCACGGGGGGAATGCCTTTATTCTAGGTGTCCGTGTGTCCAGCAAAACCCAGAGGATTCTTTTTTTTACCCCAATTTTTAAAAATTGGGGTAAAATATGCATAACAAAATGTACCTTCTTAACCGTTTTTACGTGGACACCACCACTGTTCATCTCCAGAACGCTTTTCATCTTGCAAATCTGAAGCCATAGGATGTCTGCCTGGCTCAGTCCACAGAGCATGCGACTCTGGTTCCTGGGGTCATGAGTTCAGGCCCCACATTGGGCTTACTTAAAAAACACACACGCACACACAAACTGAAACTATACCCGTCAAACAATTATCTTCCCGTTCCCCGCTCTCCCCAGCCTCTGGCAACCACCATTCTACTTTCTGTTTCTACGAATTTGCCTACTTTAAGTACCTCCGATTAGTGGAATCCTACAGTATTTGTCTTTTTGTGACTAGCTTGTTTAACTTATCATAACGTCCTCAGGATTCATCTGTGTTGTAGCATGGGTCAGAACGTGCTTTTTTTTTTTTTTTTTTTTTTGAGACAGAGCACAAGCTGGGGAGCGGCAGAGAGAGAGGGAGACACAGAATCTGAAACAGGCTTCAGGCTCTGAGCTGTCAGCACAGAGCCCGAAGCGGGGCTCGAAACCACAGACTGCAAGATCATGACCTGAGCCGAAGTTGGACGCTTAACCGACTGAGCCACTCAGGCGCCCATCAGAATGTGCTCATTTAAAAAGAAATTTTTTTAATGTTTATTTTTGAGAGAGGTTGCATGTGCATGAGTAGGGCAGGGCCAGAGAGATGTGGGGGATATAGCCTCCACACTGTCAGTGCAGAGACCGATGGAGGGCTTGAACCCATGAACTGTGAGATCAAGACTTGAGCTGAAACCAAAAATCAGATGCTTAACCCACTGAGCCACCCAGGAGCCCCTTAGTTCTTTTGAGCATATCAAAAGCTGGGGTCCTTTTGTATGGAAAACAGGCACAGGTGAATGCCTGCTCCTGAGTGCATTGTTTCCACATTTTCTTAGTGATCACAGGACTGAGTCTGTGGTCTTTTGGGCAAGACATTTTACTGCCAACATAAACCAGGGTCCTTACCACCCCAGTCATATCTCTGACTCTTTGGTTTGATTTTTTTGTAAAATAAAAAGAGATTTTAAATTATACGTTGACAAAGTGAGCCAGTGTCTCCAACGCCTGAATGCCCCTTTAATCATCTTTCTGGGTTTTTTTAAAACAGTTTTTATTTTTATTTATTTATTTTTTAAATGTTTTATTTATTTCTAGGAGAGAGAGAGAGAGAGAGAGACAGGGTGAGCAGGGGAGGGTCAGAGAGAGAGGGAGTCACAGACCGAAATAGGCTCCAGGCTCTGAGCTGGCAGTCAGCACAGAGCCCGACGCGGGGCTCGAACCACGAACCGCGAGATCATGACCTAAGCAAAAGTCGGACGCTTAACCGACTAAGCCACCCAGGCGCCCCTAAAATAGTTTTTAAAAAAATGTTTGTTCATTTTTTAAGAAATGTTTTTAATGTTTATTTTTGAGAGAGCACAAGTGGGGAAAGGGCAGAGTCAGCACAGAGGCCGATGTGGGGCTTGAACTCACAGACTGTGAGATCGTGACCTGAGCTGAGGTCAAACGCTCAATCAACTGAGCCACCCATGTGCCCTTGTTTATTCATTTTAAAGAGAGAGAGTACCAGCAGGGAAGGGGAGAGAGAGATGCTGACAGAGGATCTGAAGCAGGCTCTGTGAACCTGACGCAGGGCTCGATCTCATGAACCTCATGAACCGTGAGATCATGACCTGAGCTGAAGTCAGAGGCTCAACTGACTGAGCCACCCAGGCGCCCCCATCTTTCTATCTGTGGTTCTCACCCACGCTAACCTTCCTGTGTTCCCGCAGTCCTCTGGGAGCCCAGTGGGGCTTGGCGCGCCCATTTTAGAGAAAGAGAAACTGAGGCTCTGAGCCAAACTGGAGCCTGCACCCTTCGTTCATTATTTTGACTGTTGATCAAGTGCCCACTGCATGCCAGGCACCCGAGCTGTAGCGGGGAACAAAACAGACAGAAGCCCCTGCCCTCCTAGAGCTGCACCCTAGTGGGGAGACAGACACTAAGCAAATAGGTTGAAGTGCTGTGAACACAAACCAAAAACAACTGTTTGGGAAGAAAGTGTAACAATTCAAATAAGGCGGTAAGGGAGGGAAGTCCCCACTGAAAAGCTGACATTTGAGCAAAGACCTGAAGGAGGAAGAGAGAACCAGCCCTGGGGGAACAGCTTTCCATGCGGGAAGGAACAGTCAGTGCAAAGGCCCTGAGGTGGGAGCCTACTGCCCTGTTAGAGTGTGTGGGGTTTTGTGGGTCATGATGTCTTTTTACTTGAGTGGGTTGGAGCCACAAGGGGGCTCTAAGTGTGGGAAGATCATGACCTTACTCAGGTGTTCACGGGGTCCCTCTGGCGTGTGCGGGGCAGGGGTAGGGGGGGTGCGGGGCAGGAGTGGGGAGGGGGACAGACTTCTGGCAAAGACTGGGGGAGAAGCGAGACCAGGGAGGGGGCTGCTACTTTAGACAGGCCCAGGGTGGGGCCGTGGGACTGAGGTGCGGTGAAGTGAGCACGGTCAGGATCTGTATGAAATCTGAGATTCACTGACAGGTGGAAAGTGGATGTGAGCTAGTCAAGGACCCCAGGCTCATGGCCTGAGCAGTGGAGGGATGGACGTGTCACTGATGAAATTTTAGTTTGCAAGGGGGGGGGGGGGCGCGGTTGGAGCTGATGGCCAAAAAAGAATTCTTGAAGACACCTTTGGTACAAAAAGGTGATTTTATTAAAGCACAGGGACAGGCTCCAGGGCAGGAAGAGCTGCGGTTGGGATATCTGGTTATACACCATGGACTTGGGGAGGGTCAAGTCAAAAGGGAAGTTTCCAAAGAGACTTTCATGTGCTAAGGACTCAACAGATCACTGGAGGCCTAGCTATTGTCAGGCTGAGGTTGTTTTTCCCTCTAGCAAAGCATTAAGACACGGTAGGGAGTTCTGGACTTCAGGCTATTGATGGGATTGCCTTTTCCTAGTAAACTGGTGGAGACTCTTAGCCGTTTAACCTTTGGTTTTTGTCCTTTCCTGTTTTGGGGTAGCCCGGAGTGTCCAAGGAATATCGCGCATGTCCCCCCTGGGGGAGGGGCGGGGTTGCTAGCTTGTACTTGACCCTCGGCCTGCTTTAGTCTCCCTCATCGCCATCACTTGAGATGAGAGACTGGGGGGCAGTTTCCAAGGTGAAATCAAGTGTCGGTTTAGGGTGGCCGCAGACTCCGGAACGGAGGTGGCGGGCGGACGGAAGGCTTTCCCCTTGCTCCCGCAGGCTACGGGTACACGACGCCGCTGACCGACGCCGGCAAGGCCTTCTCCATTGCCTTCGCCCTCCTGGGAGTGCCGGCCACCATGCTGCTGCTGACCTCCTCGGCCCAGCGCCTGATGCTGCTTCTGACCCATGCACCCCTCTCCCAGCTGGCCGTGCGTTGGGGCTGGGACCTCCGGAGGATGGCCTGCTGGCATCTGGTGGTCCTGCTGGGGGTCGTAGTGACCACCTGCTTCCTGGTGCCGGCTGCCATCTTTGCGCACCTCGAGGAGGGCTGGAGCTTCCTGGACGCCTTCTACTTCTGCTTCATCTCCCTGTCCACCATCGGCCTGGGTGACTATGTGCCCGGAGAGGCCCCCGGCCAGCCCCACCGGGCCCTTTACAAGGTGCTGGTCACAGGTGAGTGGAGTGGCTGGCCGGGGACCAGGGCTGGGGGCGCCGCCTTGTCCTGCAGGGTCCGAGTGCATCCACTCTCCCTCCGCCGCCTCTGCAGCCTACCTCTTCCTGGGCCTGGTCGCCATGATGCTCGTGCTGCAGACTTTCCGCTACGTGTCCGACCTTCATGGCTTCACGGAGCTCGTACTGTTGCCCCGTCCGTGTCCGGCCAGCCGCAGCGGGGATGAGGACGATCAGGCGGGCATTGTGAACCCCCCGCCGGAACCGCACCAGCAGCTGGCTGCCGGCTCCCATGCCGACTACGCCTCCATCCCCAGGTAGCTGGGGCCGCGCCCTGAGGCTGGATGGACCTGGCCTGCCGCTGAGGGGCCCGGGTGACTGGAGCTGCTATACGGGACCGTCCACGACACTGCCACCGGCTGTCTGTCCTATGTTTTACCCGTCCCTGTCCCAGGTTTCACCGCCATTGCCTTGTTCTCCGCCCCCCCCCGCCCCCCGTCCTTTCTCTCACTCCCCCCACCCTGGGCCCTCTGGCTTTCTCTCACCATCTCTGTCTTTCCCTCTCACTCTCCCGTGTCTCATTCTTTTCCTGGCTCCACCTGCCTCGCCCTCAGTTCTAGCAGGCTCTGGGCTCAGACCTCATTTCGGGCACTTGACTGGTCACTGTACTGTGGGCAGGTGGCTGCCCTTGTCTGAGCTCGGACGTGCATCTGTCAAATGGACACAATATATCCACTCATCCCAACCCCCCTCCTCTGAGCGGTCCCCAGGCTGAGCAGTGCTAGGGACGCTGTCGTGGTTGAGGTGGCGCCGGGCCCTGCTCTCATGGGTTCCCAGTCCAGCGAGGTAGACAGACCTGTCCCCACACGGTGATGGCCCAGAACAGGCAGGACTGCAGAGGGGGAGACAGGGGGGCCGCAGCGCGTTCGAGAAGGCTCAGGCAGAGCGGGCAGGGCTGAGGTGGATGGAGGAAGCACAGGGACGCCGCCCTGTGGACGCAGCCCGCAGGGTCAGGGAGAGCTTTCTAGAAGAAGGGGTAACTCAGCCCTGAAGTCTGAGGAGCAGCCGGGGGAGAAGGGGGACCTTGTTTTATCTCGTGTCCCTTGGGAGCGAGATCCACGTGGCGAGCCCGGGGTGGGGGGTGGGGTAGGCCTGCGCCTCAGAACCCTCCTCAGCAGCCGGGCAGGCGGGGAGCTGACACAGGACCCAGCCAGGATCCGAGTGGCACGGAACGCACTGCTCTGAGCCCAGACCCCGTTGGAAGAGCTGTCCCCGCTTCCCAAGCACGGACTGCGTGAGTGCTCTGGGCTCCAGCCTGCTTGGGCTCAAACCCCAACTCAGCTGTGTCCCTGCGCGGTCCTCGGGCGGTCACTTCACCGCTGCGGTTCTCAGTTTTCCTCATCTGTAAAACGGCAATAATAACCGTAGTTACTCCGAAGATGATTTCACAGAGGTTGCCACGTTATTCCGTGACGCTTTCTTTGGCCAGGTTCTGTTCCGGGTCCTTTACACACGAGGGACATAATTCATCATCCTTTTCCATAGATGAGGAAACTGAGGCACTGGGAGTGGAGGTCCCTTGTCTTAGACACAGAGCTGCGAGGGGAATGCTTTTCTGTCTCCTGCCCCCAGATCTGCCTCCTTCCAAGATGATACATCAGTCATAGTACTTGGCGCGACAGGCCTGTCTACTCAGCGGTTACCTCTACCAAGCCCCATGGAGTTACAGAAGGGATGGGGCGTTTGGGCTGGACCTTGAGAGTGTTCAGGAAGAAGGGGCACGTGGAGGCATTCCAGGCAGAAGGAACCGTGTACGTCTAGAGGTAGGAAAGCATGTCAGATGTCAGCCTCTGACATCTGATGGCAACTGGCTTACTTGACTGGAGTAGGGGGTGACGGGGAAAGAGAGCGGAGCTGTGGACACGGGTGCATCTTAAGTATCCTTAAATGGCCAGCTTGGGAACTTGGCCTCTTCCGTGAGGGTACTAGAGAGCCATGGAAGGATTCTGAGCAGCAGAGGGCTATGGTTAGGTTTGGGCTTTAGCTGCTGCGTGGAGGTAGACCAGATGGGGGAAGACCGAGGCCGGGTGCACGGGGGAGGCTGGGACAGGGACGGAGCTGGAGATGAGGCTGGGCAGGGCTGAGCAAAGGGAGGAGGGGCAGTGAGGTCATGCTCAGGAGGCCAAGTGGACAGGCCTCGTGCAGACCTTACAGACTTGGGAGGGACAAGGACAGGAAAAGGCCCCAGGATGGCCGCCTGCCCTGGAGATGGGAACCTGGGAGAAGAGAACCGGTTTGCGGGGAAGACACGGAGGCTTGTTTGGAACATGGTGGGCGGGAGGGGCTAAAGGAACGTCCAGAGGAAGGCATCAGAAGGTCACAGGCACCTCTGGGCAGAGTCTCAGGGCGTGGTTGAGGCTGGAAACATGGGGGATGTCCGGATGGCAGGATGGAAACAAACAGGGGCTGAAGTTCGAGGCTGAAGATGACCCAAAGGGGCTTCTTTTCCTAGAACATAAAGGCTCCATAGGGCAAGCAGTGACTTTTTTTTTTTTTTTAATGTTTTTTTTTGAAAGAGTGAGTATGAGCAAAGGAGGGGCAGAGAGAGAGGGACAGAGGATCTGAAGCAGGCTCTGCGCTGACCTCACAGAGCCCAATAAGGGGCTCGAATTCATGAGCCGTGAGATCATGACCTGAGCTAAAGTCAGATGCTCAATGGACTGAGCCATCCAGGCGCCCCAAGCAGTGACCTTTCAACTGGTGTCCTCACACAAGAGAGACGAGCTTACAGAGGAGACAGAAAAAGGAATCCCATAGAGAAGCAGGAAAACCAGGAGGGTAGGGAGAATCAGTAAGAGATGAGAGAAACTTAAAGATAATTCACCGTTGTCAAATCATGCTAAAAAGTTACACAAGATCGTTTTAATAACAGTAATAGAAAACCCATAGGATTTACTATGTGCCGGGCACTGTTCCAAGTTCTTGACACATAATTTATTTAACCTTCTCAGCAACTCTGTTAGGTCCATTTTCTGGATTTTACAGTTGAGGAGGCCCAGAGAGGTTAAATAACTTGCCCAAGGTCACACAGGAAGTCCAGAAACTGAGATCTGAGCAACGTTTTGGTCACCTTGTCCCACAGGAGCCCAGAAGACATCTACTGTCTAGCTCTTTGCCAGCTTCCCATGCTTCCTGGCTCCTCATGGTCAACCTTGCTGTTAAAGTCAGCAGCTGGCTGAGGGAGGCAGTTTCCAGGTTCCTCTAGGGAAGAAAAAACAAACAAACAAACAGGTCCTGTTCAATCCAAAACACGGGGGGGTGGGGGGGTGGCAGGCTAAAAATTCAAAAGGTACAAAAGAGTGTAGAGTAGAAAGTCAGCCTTTCTCCTGTACTCACGCTGTGTTGACTGATTTCTCAGGCCTTCTGGGCAAATAGCAGTATACATGTGTGTGTACATATATATGTGTGTCATCATTTTTCCCTTCACTCCATTCAGGTGGTATCTAGGAAGATGAGGTGGTTACAGACTTTAGAGGCAGAGTCCCTGGGTATAAGTCTGAACTCTGTCACTCCCAAGCTCTGTCGCTTTGGGCAAGTGATTTCACCTCCTTGGGCCTGAGTTTGCTAATCTGTAAAATGGGATGATAACAGCACCTACCTCATGGACTTCTTAAAGAGTTAAGCAATTTAATATCTGTAAATCTCTTGGGCTAGTGTCTGGTACTCAATAAATTGTTGACTAATGATAACTATCTTCATTTCTGCACCTTTTTGACATCATATAAGTTACATTTATATATATTCATAACTTTTATATACTTTTTAAAGTTTATTTATTTATTTTGAGAGAGAGAGATCGAGCGGAGGAGGGGCAGAGAGAGGGGGCAGACAGGATCCAAAGCAGGCTCTGTGCTGACAGCAGCGAGCTCAGTGTGGGGCTCGAACTCACGAACCAGAAGATCATGACCTGAGCCCAAGTCGGATGCTTAACCGACTGAGCCACCCAGGCATCCTTGTATACTTTTTCTAGCGCTAGTCTCACTTGTGCTCCTTGCTTTTATCACCAACCCGGTAAAATTAGGAGATCATTCCCAAGACATACAAGTAGGTCTCACGTCCTTTTTTTCATACCTGCAGTGCCTCCTCTAGGACACACATCCCATAAATTACTCTAACGTCTCACTAATGGACATGTGGGTGGCTGCCAATCTTTTGCTGGCATAAGTGATGCTGATCTAACCCAGGAACCTCCCCCTGGTAGGGCTGCATTCCTGGTGGGGGGGGGGAGGGGTGCCATGAGGACACCGACGCCTCTGTGACTGTTCATGAGTGTAGAAGGGCTCAGACACATAGCTGGCGAGCTTCTTCCCTCAGATGAAATCACTCCATGGCCATGGGGGGCTGGGGAGGGGGGGGATAGACTTCCATCAGCTGTCATTTACACAGAACATCTGTTCTGTGCTGCGTTGGACAGAGCTGGGAACAATAGTGATGGAGAAGACCCTAGGTCTTGCCTTAACGGAGCCTGTGATTCACTGGGAAGCAGCCACGGTCTAGTGTGGTCAGAGGAGGGCTGGGGACTGGTCATATGTTACAGACAAGACCCCAGGGAAGGAAAGTGATCAGCCAGTGACAAAGTAGGGAGTAGTGTTCCAGACGGTGCTACTGCGAGGAACGCAGTCTGGAGGAGAGAGAGCAGGCTGATCAAGGACGTTCAAGTCCCTCTGTGACACTGGCCTGTAGAGGACATAGGTCTGTAGGGAGAACAGAGATGGGCTGGATAGGAAGAACAGCGGGGATGAAATTATGCAGCCATCTGGAAACCAACTGGCTATTTCCCTGAGGTCCTGGGGAGACAAGGAAGGCTGGGCTTAGAGTGCTGTTTCACAGGGTGTGGTCCCTAAACCATCAGGATCGGCATCACCAGAAAACTTGCCAGAAATACCAGTTCTCGAGCCTCATCTCAGACCTACTGAATCAAACTCTGGGGGGGTGGAGCCCAACAACCTGTTTTAACAAGCTCTTCCGGCGAGTCTAATGCATGCTAAAGTTTGAAAACCATGCATTTAGGGCAAAGTCAGCTTTGCAGTTCATCAGAAAGTCATGGTCTGGGTCCTTAACTGTTAGGCGTCAGAATACAAAGGAAAATTATTACCTATTGAATTTATTTCTGCCAGGCACTCTCCACGTGTTATTTATACAAAGGCCCGGTTGCGCAGAAGACGAGTGAGGGCTACTAGAATAACCAGTAGGAACTCCCTGAAAACCTTCCTATCACACTCTGGTCTCCAGCACCCTCAGCCCTCCAGGCCTCGTTTACCAGGGTGTTGAGCCAGCTTTCACCGCGCCACTAAGTCGACAAGCGTTACCGTGGAGACAGGCGCTGGCGGCCAGCAGGTCTCTTGAAAGGCGGAAGTAGGTTGTGGAAGTGTGGGCGGCCATTTTGAAACCGGGCGAGAGGGGCGGGACTGGAGCGGCCAAGTGACGGTTGACCGGTTTTAACTAAGTGACTGGTACCTCGGGGCGGGGAGAAGAGGGAGGTGCCTGGGGCCACCCCAGGGAGGGATGCGGGGGGCGGGGGGTGGAGAGAAGGGGAGGGAGGGGGACTGGCGAGAAGGGGAGAGGCAAGGGAAAGGGAGGGGAGTCCAGGGACCCAGCAACGGGGTGGGGAAAGGGCGGGGCGACGAGCCGGGAGAGGTTAAGAGAAGAAGCGAGGAGATGAGTAGGGGCGGGGCTGGAAGAGGCGGGGCCTAGAGCCGGTGGCTGTCTAGGGCATGGAAAAGGGTCGTGAAAAGAGAGAGTGGAGTGTAAAGGTGTCGCATCTCGGGGGGAAGGTGAGGTTAGCGAAAGGGCCGACCGACAACATAACGCTGGAGTGGAACGAGAAAAAGGTGCAGGGCCACGAGAAGGCGCAGAGCGAAGGGAAGGCCGGTGGCAAGGAGAGATCCCGAGGCAAAGAGAGGGTCTCTAAGGGGAATGGATGTGGTTCTAGGAGGGGGCGGTGCGAGGGGCAGGCCGGAGAAGAACAGCTCTGGGTGGGCCAGGCGACAGGGCGGGCCGAAGAACTAGGACGGGTCGAGGAACAGGGGCGCGACCGGGCGGGGAAGCAGAGAGAGGAGCAAGCTACCGACGAGAAACAGGGGCGGGGCCAGGGAAAGGGGCGTGGCGTGGGGAAGGCTTGGGCCCGCGATCCCGAGAAGGGAGAGACTAGATACAGGACCCGGCACCGGGGCAGGGCTCGGGCCAGGAGAAAGAGGACATGCGAAGAGATGCGGGGGGGCGGGGCAAAAAGTAGGGGCGAAATCAGGTGCAAGTGCAAGTGCAGGTGCACGACCAGAAGGAGCAGCGGGACTGGAGAAAGTAGGTGGGGCACCACCAAAGTCAGAAACAGACACCGAGACCCGGTGAAGAGCAGGTGCCGTATGCAGAGCAGAGGCCGAGCAGAGAACAACTACGGGGCAGGGTTAAGGGGTGAAGCGAGGAGGCGAGGCGAAACCAGGAGCAGGGGCGTGTCCAGGAGCAACAGTAGAGGAGGGACCTGGACTTACAGTGGACGTGGGACTCAGAATAGGAGCAGATGCCGCATCTTGGTCAGTGGCGAAGTCTGGAGTATAAACGGAGCCCGAAGCAAGAGCAGGGGCGGGGCCCGAAGCAAGAGCAGGGGCGGGGCCCGAAGCAAGGGCAGGGGCGGGGCCCGAAGCAAGAGCAGGGGCGGGGCCGGGAGAAAGAGCAGGGGTGGGGCCAGGAGCAGGTGCCGGGGGAAGCTCAGAAGCGTGGTAGGATCTCAGAAGACGGCTTTCGGGCGCAGTCTTGCTGGCGGGTGTTGACCCCCGCATTCTCTAGGTTCGAGCCACGTTGCGTGCTGCCCCGCGATGTACGCTGCTGGCCCTGCGTGGAGGAAACTCCGAGTCCTGCGGGCGCTGTGGGCACTACTGGCGGTGCTATTGGCACCGTGGAGGCTATGGGCGAAGGAGGATATCCAGGAGTGCACCTGGCAGGTTGTTCTGGTCAAGTTCAATACGGTAGGCAAGGACGGCACGAGCGACCGTTTTTTCGATCTAGAGCCCCTGAGGCCGCTGGACAATGTGTTCAGCCTGCTGGTGGATGCGCCCATCGACCAGAACGAGGTGAGGGGACTGGGGTCAGGTGAATGGGAGAGGTCATGGATCCGCACCCCACTGGGCTCTGGACATTTGCCCAACTTCTTCTTGCAGAAATACATGGGCTTCCCATACTACCTAAAGATCAACTACTCCTGCGGTGCAGAGGTGAGTGAGTGCAGTTGGGGGGTGAGCTTATTCTGTGTTGGCTCAGTTTCCCCAGTCTGTAACATTTTAATACTGGTGGCACCACCAGACCCTGGGGACACTAAGGATTCAAGAAGATTCCCAGTATCCCACCAGGCACACATAGTACTGGCACTAAAGCTGCTGCTGCTTCTGCTGCTGCTGCTTCTTCTTCTTCTTCTTCTTCTTCTTCTTCTTCGTCTTCGTCTTCGTCTTCGTCTTCGTCTTTCCGTTAAAAAAAATTGAGATGTAACTCACATAAAATTCACGATTTTAAGGTATACAATTCAGTAGTTTTTAGTATATTAACAAAGTTGTACAACCATTACCATTATCTAATTTCAGAACACATTCACCACCCTAAAAAGAAACCCCGTACCTCTATCCTCCAGCCTCTGGAGATCACTAACCTACTTTCTGTTCCTATGAATTTACTTGTTCGGGACATTAAATATCAACGGAGTTGTACAATAGGTAATTTTTTGTATCTTGCTTCTTTCACTCCACATGTTTTCAAGGCTCACCGCTGCTATAGCCTGTATCAGTATTTCCTTTCTATGGCTGAATAATATTTCATTGTAAGGATATGCTACATTTTGTTTACCCATGAATTGATAGATATCTGAGTTCTCTATCTTTTTTTGGCAATTATGAATAATACTTTTGTAACCATGAGTGTACAAGTTTTTGTGGATGTATGTTTTCAGTTCTCTTGCTGGATTGAATGATAACTGTTTAACTTCTGAGGGACTGCCTGATTGTTTTCCAAACATCCCATTTTACATTCCCATCAGCAATGTTTGAGGGTTCCAGACTCTACATCTTCACCAACCCTAGAGCCAAAAGAGATGGGTATGAGAGGGTATCTCATTGTGGTTTTGACTTGCATTACCCTCATAACTACTGATGTTGAACATCTTTTCCTATGCTCCCTGGCCACTTATCTACCTTCTTTGGAGAAATTTCTATTCAAATTCTGTGCCAAACTGGGTTGTCTTTTTATTGTTGCATTGTAAAATTTCTCTGTGTATTCTGGATACTAGTTCCTTATCAGATGTATGCTTTGTAAATATTCTGTCACACCATATGGATTGTCTTTTTACTTTCTTGATGGTGTCTTTTTTTTTTAATGTTTTATTTATTTGAGAGAGAGAGAGAGAGTGAGCAGGGGAGGGTCAGAGAGAGAGGGAGATATACAATCCAAGACAGGCGACAGGCTCTGAGCTAGCTGTCAGCACAGAGCCTGACACAGGGCTCAAACCCACAAACCGTGAGATCATGACCTGAGCCGAAGTCAGATGCTTAACAGACTGAGCCACCCAGGCGCCCCTGAATGGTGTCCTTTAAAGCACAAAGGTTTTGTTTATTGAGATATAATTCACATTCCATAAGATAGCACCAAAGTTTTTAACCTTGATAAAGCCCATTTATCAGAATTTTCTTGTGTTGTGTGTGCTTTTGGTATTGTCTAGGAAGTCTATGCCTCAGTCATGAAGATTTACTCACATGTTCCAAGAGTTTTTTCGTTTTAGCTCTTACATTTAAGTCTATCCATTTGAGTTAATTTTTGTGTATGGCGTGAGGTAGGGGTCCAACTTTTGCATGGATATCCAGTTATCTCACAAGCACATATATAAATGAGTTGTCTCCACACCGTTGTCAGAAGTCGTTTGGCTATAACTCTAAAGGTTTATTTCTGGGTATAATTCTGTTCCATTGCTCTATGTATCTGTCCATACACTAGTATCACATGGTCTTTTTTTTTTTTAATATTTTTATTTATTTCTAGGAGAGAGAGAGAGAGAGAGAGAGAGACAGCGTGAGCAGGGGAGGGTCAGAGAGAGAGGGAGACACAGACTCTGAAACAGGCTCCAGGCTCTGAGCTGGCAGTCAGCACAGAGCCCAACGCGGGGCTCGAACCCACGTACCGCAAGATCATGACCTAAGCGAAAGTCGGACGCTCAACTGACTAAGCCACCCAGGCGCCCCCACATGGTCTTGATTACTGTAGGTTTGTAGTAAGTTTTTAAATCAGGAAGTTTGAGTCCTCCAACTTTGTCGTTCTTTTCCAAGATTGTTTTGGTTCAAGTAAGCTTTTTGTGGACAGTAGAGAGTTGTGGCCTAGAAGTGAATTTTTGGTGGCAGCAGGCCTGGGTCTGAATCTGCCATTGACTTAACATTTCCTTGGAGGATGTGTATCACGACAGTTAATACTGAAGGCTCTGGAGCCGGGCTGCCTGTGTTCAAATCCCAGCTCTTCCACCTAATAACTGTGTGATCTCTGGCAAATCACTTACTCCCCTGTACCAAAGTTTCCTCATCCTTTTTAATTTTTTTATTTTTTAATGTTTTATTTATTTCTGAGAGAGAGAGAGAGCAGGGGAGGGTCAGAGAGAGAGGGAGACACAGAATCCGAAGCAGGCTCCAGGCTCTGAGCTGTCAGCACAGAGCCTGACGTGGGCTCGAACTCACGAACTGTGAGATCATGCCCTGAACCGAAGTCGGACGCTCAACCGGCTGAGCCACCCAGGCGCCCCTAAAGTTTCCTCATCCCTGACAAGGATGCAATAATGATCACACCCACTTGACAAAATGATTCAATATGCAAGAGCCACTTAGCACAGTGCCTGGTTCATAGAGAGGGCTCCATGAATGCTAGCAACAAGTTTGTAGAGTGTGACCCTGGCCAGACAGTTTCTCTCCACAAATTTCCTTACCTTTAAAAGTGTGATAATAATACCTTTATCTGGCCATTCAACACCTCCAATGGGTCAGATTCTTTTTTTTTTTTTTAATCATTACATCATGGGGGTGTAATGATTAACAACATGGCTAGATTTTTCTTATGGATTCAGGCCACCAGGGAAGTGATCAGCAGATAAATACATAAAATAATTTCTGGAGAGTTATCAGTGTGAAGAAGAAAATGAAATGTCCTATGTTAGGGGCGCCTGGGTGGCTTAGTCGGTTAAGCGTCCGACTTTCCGACTTTCGCTTAGGTCATGGTCTCGCGGTTTGTGGGTTCGAGCCCCGCGTCGGGCTCTGTGCTGACTGCCAGCTCGGAGCCTGGAGCCTGTTTCGGTCTGTGACTCCCTCTCTCTCTGACCCTCCCCTGCTCACGCTGTCTCTCTCTCCTAGAAAGAAATAAAACATTAAAAAAAAAAAAAAAGAAATGTCCTATGTTAGAAAGGAGGGTGTTACGGGATGGTTGGAGAAGGTCTCTGAAGAGGCCTGAACAGAGACCTTAGAGATCTCTGGGTCATCAGGGATGACCCGCTGCCTGTGAGGAGCCATGAGTGAGGGGACAGTGGGAGGAGATAGGGCAGGGAGGTGATGAGAGCCTCATGAATCTCAGGGAGAGGTTGACTTCCACTCTTGAGTGAGATGGAGCCTGTGAGAAGGTTCTGAGCAAAGGAGGGCCTGATCAGACTCCAGTGTTCCCAGGCTCCCTCCTGCTGTGTGTGTAGGGGAGGGCGGGGGAGGGCAGGGCAGGGCAGGGCAGGGGCAGGGAGACAATGAGGAGGCTGATGCAGGGTCTAGGCAGGAGTTGAGAGTGGACAGGGCCAGGGTCATGGTGCCCCGACTGGAGATCCCTGCCTCGCCAGCACCTGCTACCCTGTGGTTGAAATACCCAGAGGTAGATTCGGGACAGGTACAGTTGCCAGGGTTGATAAGGCCCTGGCCGAGGCGTTCCTCGGGATGGAGGGCTGTGCAAAGGTGGTCGGACCCATTAAGTCTCTGTCCCTGGTCTCATAGCCCACCCCCTGCCCACAGTGGCTTGAGTGCAACTTTTTCTTGGGGCTGCCTCCAAGCCTTTGCTCGTGCTGTTCCACACACCCGGCACACCCTTCTTCCCTCCTTTCTTCTCCACCCCAAGTCCTGCCTGCCCTTCCCCCCCCAGCCAGGGTCCTGGCATTTCCAGGAGACTGGTCCTGACTATCTCCTTCCCCTCCCCCCCCCTTTCCTTTCTGTGTAACTGCCCCATCCCCCACCCGCCACAAGCCCCAGCTCTAAATCCTCTGACTGGTGGTGGAGGTGGCAGAGAGTCACATTTCTACAGAGGGTGGTGAAGCCTCAACAGTGGGACCGGGACCCCCTGAAGTGAGGCAAGGTTCATCCCCACTGTCCCATCGGTGTAGCCCCACGCTGCCCTTCTCTGCACATTCCCTACATCCATACATATCCCGTCTGAAGACGACGGTGCTGGCCTCACCTCCTCCAGGAAGACCTACTGACTCCCTTCACTGCCCCTGGCCCTGCTGCCTGTCCCCTGGCCTGGCCTGTTGCCACTCCAGCACACGGCCAAGACCTTGTTCTCTCACCTTCCCGTGGTGGAGACTGTTCTCCCACCC